CCATGACCCTAATCCCGCCTCCCCAACACCTCTGCCGTGCTCCTCTCTTCCCCCCCGCCCCACCCCCGCCCTGCCACTACGCTTCCGCCCCCCCCCCCCCCCCTATTGGTAATTGGCGAGGGGGTTCAACGTCGGCTTTCCACATCAACAACCTGCCTGTTGCCTCGGCCTTCTCCTGCGCGGCCTTCTCCTGCGCTTCCCTTCCGTCTTGCTCACTGACGGCCTCGCCGCCCACTCCAAAACGACAAATGCAGACTGCGGGGTCCAGCGGACCCTCCCACGGCCTCATTGATCTGATCGTCGGGGCCAGATTCAAAATCGGACGAGAGATGGGAGGCGGAAGCTTCGGCGACATCTATTTGGGTGAATGTCAAGTTGCCTGCTTCAATTGGCCTCACGGCTTTTTCCGGGGAATACTCTCGATGGTAGCGTCTTGACAGCTTTCCGTATCCTTTGTTTTTATCAGGTACCGATATTCAAAACAATGGTGAGGTAGCAATCAAGCTCGAATCAGTAAAGGCTAGACACCCTCAGCTTGCGTATGAGACCAAAGTGTACAGAAATCTGGTCGGAGGAGATAAGCAGACGGTTTGGCTCGCCCCCAACGCCGCCCCTCGCAAAAGCTTGGCCCAATAACTTCTTCCACGACGAGTAAGTGTTCCGCTGCTACGCCAATTCGGAGTGGAATACGGTTTCAACTGCATGGTCATCGACTTGCTGGGACCCAGTCTGGAGGATCTGTTCAACTTTGTTGGGAGAAAGTTTACCTTGAAGACGGTTCTGTTGCTCGCTGATCAGCTGATACGCAGGATTTGCAGAGACCCGTTATCTTGTGTTGACCCGGACAGCTTATACTCAATTTCTCGGGTCCACAGAAGTTCATCCACCCGAATAATCAAGCCTGACAACTTTCTCATAGGCTTGGGCAATCGGGGCAACCAAGTCAATGTGATTGATTTTAGTCTGGCCAAGAGATACCGCGACCCCAAGTCCCAACTGCATATTCCCTCTAAAGAGAACAAAAACTTGACCGGAACCGCGCGTTACCAGTAGCTTTGCTGACAAAATAAATGTCTTATTTCGCTGCAGAGCAATCTAGACGGGACGATCTCGAGTCTGTGGGGTACATACATGCTCATGTACTTTTGCCGCGGCTCCATGCCGTGGCAGGGACTGCACGGTGCGACGAAAACAGAAATACGACCTCATCATGGAAACGAAGATTATCACCCTGAGTCTGGTCCTCTGCAAGTATTCTTTCAAAACACCGCATCACAGCTTGTTTTTGGCGACCCTCGCCTGACATCCGCCTCCACAAAATCGCAGAGGGTTCCCCGTTGAGTTCGCAGATTACTTGGATTACACCAACACACTGCTCTTCGACAACCGGCCAGATTACAACTACCTCCAGAAGCTCTTTCAAAATCTTTTCGTCTGCGAGGAGTTCGTTCGCGATTTTGTGTTTGACTGGACGATCGTGAAGTTCAAGACAGGGTCTTCAGGGGAGGGGGGTATTTGTTAAGCTTGCTCTGCAAGACTCCTTCAAGACTGACCTGAACGTCTTTTTCTCCTCCGAAGCAGTGGGGTCGGGAAGCTCCTGGAACCAGGGTCGTCGACAACAGTAGAGAACTCCAATCTTAGGTGTCTGTTTGACTCCCTTCGGACTGGTTTTGTCATGCAAAAGTCGTGTTCACGCATTCGGGTTGACAAAGTAATCGCGATCCAGCACGAAAACTCCGCCGGGTGCTGGGTAGGCTTGGACGCCGTCACCATGAACCTCTGCTCCATCATCCCCAGATTCTCTGTCTGCTTGCTGAGATCCTTGCCCAGCGTGTGCGATTCCGCACCCTTCTGCTCCTGTACGACGGCGAATTTAGCCATCTGGACGAAAGAGTAGACTTCGCTCCTGCAGTATAGCCGGTCTCGAATCACACCCTTGGGAGTCAGCCTCACCACCTCTCTAGAGCTCACGCGCATCCGATGTTTGCTCAGCTGCCTCTTGCGGCAGACAAAAGTCTGGTTGTCAATCCACTCCCAGCTCCGCTCACGGAATTGGTACACATGTAGTCTCCGTCTGTCAGATCCAGGACTAAGCGCCCGCCAGGGACAAGGTTCGGGAAACCTCACTGAGCACAATGCGATCACACTGCTCATCTGCAAAGTATCCAAACGAGTTGCTCATGATGATGACCAGGTCGAAGGTCTCGTCGGCGTATGGAACTTGGCGGCAGTCTCCAACCGTAAAGACGGTTCTCCCTGACAAAGCGCAATGGAAGTTCATCGATAAACAGCATTTGTTTGCCAAATCATGAACGAAGATCGAATATCGTGTCAATTTGGTACAGCAAATCATCAAGAATTGTAGAAATCTCGTCAATGGAAGTTTATCGATTAACATCAATTTGGTTCCCAAATCATCAACAAAATTCGAAATACTTGTCCAATTATTGAGTTTTTACATCATTTTGTTTGCCAAATCATAATCAAAATTTCAAATTCTTGTACAATGAAAGTTTGTTGATGAACAACATTTGGTTGCCAAATCATCAACAAAATTTGAAATTGTCCAACGGAAGTTTATCGATAAGCGAAATTCTGTTTACAAAATCATCAACGAAATTCGTAATTCTTGTCGAGCGGAAGCTTATCAATAAAGTAAATTCTGTTTGCCAAATCATCAAATAAACTTCAAAATCTTTTCCAACATTTGTTTGCCAAATCATCAACGAAATGTAAAATTCTTCCTGAAAGGAATTTTATCACTAAACAATATTTTTCATGCCCCCTATCAAGTCCACTTCACCCTCCATGACCTCACCACTGTCCCATCCCCTGATGGACTAAAACCCAGAATCGCCGGTGGCCTAAATTCTTATAGTCGCGTTTGGGATGCCAAATCATCGACTAAATTTGAAATTCTTGCTCAACGGAAACTTATTTATAAGCAACATTTTGTTTGAAAAATCATCAACGAAATTTAAAAATCTTGTCCAACATTGCCTGCCGAACCTGAGGTAAAATTTCAAATGTTCATTTGTCGATAAAAAATGCCCAGTACATAAATAGAGTGGGTTTCTTGTAAATGAGATCCCATACAAATCATCCTGTTCAAGTCATTACGAGTAGTTACTTTAAAGATCTTCTCTGTATTTAATTTTTCTCTGCAATGGAGTACAAAGCGTCTTATGAAATGAACCGTTTCAACCTTAAATATGCCAACAAAGCCTATTTTGAAACGATGCTTATACAATGTGGCCATCCGCCTGTGTTTGGTCAAGGTCCAATTAAGTGCATGAGTGCGAATCACTTGACCCATGAAGATCAAGAAAAAGTCAATCCTGTTAACATCTCAAACAAAAACCCTTACAAAATCTATAAAGATTCTCAAATGAAATATAACAATCTTTCAGTTCCCATGGTCAACATGACAGCCGGCATTGTCCTTCCTCTTCTTCCAAAAAATTTACTCAAGACACTTTTGACATAGTACTTGAAGAAATTTCAAAGAAAAAGCTATTTGTGAAGCTTTGAGAAACGTGCTCAACAAAATGAAAATCAAAAGTGCCCTTCGCAACGCCTTGAAGAGGACAAATTATGAAATTTGCATCAAGGCAACCAAAGAAAACGATGGGAAACGATGGGAAACGATGGGAAGCAGTAACGACGAACATTCCGCCATGGACGCATTCTCTTCTGGATTTTATGACAAAATTTGCAACCAATTTAAGGAAAGTGTTGTAAACAATAAGGAACATCAAGGACAAGCTGCTTATGATTGTACAGTTCAGTTTGGCTCAATCTCCAAAAACAACAGAGTAATTACAATCACATTTTGAATTCATCTGGAAGAATACAAGAATATAAAACATTCCGCAAGCATCTTCTAAACTTCGAATGGGGGCAATTAGGCTGGTTAGTCATGGGATAAGAATGTGAGAACCAGTCATGTTAGCACAGCCAGCAAAGGACTTCAACCTTGTCCCCTGCCCGGGCGTTTTGAGCTTTCAAAACATGTGAAGAAACCCCTCATGCACCCAATCAAAAGGGCAAAGGAGGAAAGGGCTCTGTGGCATAAAGCTCAGGAAAAAGAAGCCAATAAGTGGTTTGCCTGTTGTAAACAATTACCCAGTGTTATCGCAATGTTTATCCAAAGCTTCTGCCTGAGACAAGTGTTTGTGCCAAAGATACACTTCATTACAACGATATAGTTTCAGAAGTTTGAAATTTTGTGAGTTGGTGTCCAAGTTTTACTTCGAATATATTTTTTCATGATATATGTATGCAACTATGTATTCAAAAATTCTTTTATTAACCTTGTTGCTGATTTTTATGTTATCATTTGTTTGCTTTGCAATGATAAAGATGTAAATGTGCTTCAAGATATATTTTTTTAGCAGTTAAAAGTGCATGGGTTTAGTAAATTGTGAATAAATTCGTGAAATAACCCTAATAGGAATGCTCTCTTAGCAAAGTAGTCAATACTTTTGCCTTGTAAGCGAAAGGTAGTGTGTTCAACTCACACAGGGAGCCAAAGATTGTTGCATTGTCTTCAAAAAATGTTCAGAATACTATATTTGTCTCCTCATTACGTCGCAGTTGACACATCAGAAAACTATCCCGAAAATAAAGTGCGGCGCACAGAGGACATAATTGAACAGTTGAAATGTTTCAATTGTTTTAAAAAGTGTGAAAAAAGTAGTCTAATAATTTTCAGATTGTTCTTTTTCTTGATTGGAATAATTTAAAGTCAAGGACTGAGAGGCGATCCCAGATTGAAGCTTGTTTATCAAAGTATTTTGGAAACGATGTGTGTATTTAACATAGTCTTTTTTGATTTGGGACTTTTCGATTTGAAGTCTAAATTTTTTTGTATTAAAAAGGTACTTGAAGCCCCCTGAGCGCTTACAATGAAAAAAGCATAGGAAAATTTACCGGTTCAGATTATCCAGCTTAGGGTATGGCTAAAACATACCAGTATACCAATAGGGTATTTCTACGACTTTTGGATACCCTGGCAAAATTCTTTTTAGATATCAAGTCACTGCCAAGTCACCAGCCGTCGCAAATTCTTTCAGATCCACCTCCTCGTGATTAAAATTTAAAGTCTTCTGTAGAAGACCGCTTCACCCGCCCTCGCAATTTTTTCAGGACCACATCATCAATTAATATTTGCAGTCTTCTATAATAGACCGCTTTTGCCACCCAAGAGAGTTTCTTCTTTAAGTATCGCCTCGTTACCAACATTCTCTCCATGTCTTCTCATCTCCTTCTCATCTCTTCTCCTTCGTTCATCCTTCTTATGGCTCCTTCACCTTCACCTTCCTGTTCTCCTCCATCTTCAGGTATGGGCTTTCTTCATTGCACATTCATCCATCTCTTTCTTATTGATCCATTTCACTCATTTTCTTCTCTTCCTCCTTTGTCCTTATCGATAGATTCTCGCCATCAACCTTACCTTAAGCACAGCGAATCTTCCGTAGACTATCTTCACACCTCAAACAGAGTCCGGTGCGATATGGGACTTCCCAACAGAGGTCTCAATTTTTTTCTATAGAAAAGGAACTCGATGACCCCTACCGCTAACAAGGAAAAAAAACAAAGGAAAATCTGGCTGTTCCGATCAACCGGCTAGGGTATGGCGACACATACCAGTATACAAATAGGATATTTCCCCACAAAATTGCTATTACCCTAATAAAATTCTCTTTAATATTTTACATCCGCAGTGTCCCATAGTGACACTTCCATACCCTAGCGCCTACACCGGCCGTCACAAATTCGCTTTCCATTTCGCTTGACCTGATATCCTCCGCGATGCTACTCAACTTGGTCTTCTCCTCCTCCCTACTCAACTCCATGTCCCCAACATCACTGATTGACCTGGCGTCCTGCGCCCCGCTGATAAACCTGGCTTCCCTCATCCCACTGCGATTGCAACCGGACCTTCTCGAATTTCATCCCGAGCCTCAACTGCAACCAGTACTGTTACTGTTCTGCCAGCTGTCTGTGCCAGAACCCACACCCTAATGGCATTTGACTTCTCATCTTCTCAGGAACCATTTCCGCTCTACAATGCTCCTCTGTCCGCCACAAAGCCTCGATGGTTCCCCTCGCAACCGTCCTCCCCTCTCCCAGCAGCTCCCCAATGTCCCCAGACGCGGACCATCCTCCCTACCTCCCCGCCCCTGGTCCCTAATCCACCTGCCCCCCCTTTGGCGCCTACCGGCCGCAAACCACACCCTTTCTGCGTCCCTCACAACCTCGAACCCCACAGCACCCTCAAAGAACCCGCACCCTGCAATTCCTGCCACACGCCACTAGCGGCCCTCCTCCTGCTCAGCCCGCCTCCGCCTTCACCATGCCCCGCGCAACATTGCTCACCTGTCACACATGTGACGCTGCAGCTGCACTAAAGCAACCCACCTTGCACGACGCTAGCGACACGTCAACAATCTCGAAGAAGAAGAAACACCCTCCTGGGGTCGACTCCCCCCTTTATTGCAGTGCCTGCAAGGAGGAGACTGGGGTTGCCTTTACGAGGATTTTGAATCTGAATGGGGACAGAGGGACGGAAGATTGCGTTGAGCCGGAGTTTGAGCTGGAGCTTGTTTGTAAGAGGTACTGGGCTAGGTACAAGTTTTGTTCGGCGGTAGGTCGCGAAGGGGGTCGTGTGTTTGCGGGGAGGTAGGAGGTGGGTGCAATTTGGGCGCGCGCCACACACCTTGCGCGCATTCTCATCTCATCCTCATGCCCCCCCTCCCCACAGTGGCGGCGGCAGCCAATACCGCAAAAGCAGCTTGTGCCCTAACAAGCTCTCCTCACCCACCAGCAAAAGCTGCAACGTCAGCCACGACCACATCGGCATGGTCACCTTCACGCATCAAATCCTAGCCTGTCCAGAAGGCCTCTCCCCCTCCATTGTCACTGCCCTGACAGCTGTTTGCGAAGAAACCGCCATGAAACGAAATACCAAAGGCAAACTGACAGAATCCCGCGTCAGCATGTCGGATTTCACCGCCCTTGAGGCCTGCGGTTGTGACTCGGCTGCCAAGGTCTGCAAATGGCTGTGCGCCGCACTGAAGCAGGACACGAGGAGGTTTCCGTGCGTGACCTGGGGTGTTGTGAAATCCTGCCGCGCAGCTCCTGCATCTTACCCAGTTGCCTGACAAAAAAGTCCCATTCCATCCTGCCGAACGGCAGATCGACAACAGCATTGTGTGCATATCTGTAGCCTGGGCTCACTGACAGCCGTGTCCTTATACACTGCCTGCGACCGCACAGTGATTCGGTTCGTGTTTGCGAATGCTAGGGTCATCTCCCTCCAGTCCCCTCAGCACACCGTCCGGGTTGTATCGTCCCACCGCTGCAGATGTCAAGCAGGATAAGCTTCGGCTGAACAGTCTGGAGTCAACAAGGGCTACGGCATACAGGGCCCGGCGGTCCGCAGATCGCGTGGCTACTGTAATAGCGCCGCTTGATCGGGCGTTTTTCTGTCAAGAGATTCGAGGAAAGGGAGGAGGTTGGGTGGTGTTTCATGCCCTTCGCTGTTGGCGTGGATGTTCTGATACAGGGTTTGGATGATGTTGCTGAGCAACGTAAATGAGAAAGAAAAGAACTGTGGGGTGAGGTCCCAGTTTGACCTACCTTGACTTTGCTTTGGGGGAGCGTCCTCCCTCCTGTCTTTTACCTCAAGTAAGCTCCACCACAGGTTCCTCTGATGAGACGCTCAGATCCCCCCTGTGACTCCTTTTGGATCGAGCGATCGTCTTATAATTCGGAAAAGGGTATTCGCTGATTCGCTTGCGCTAGAGCACTGAGTATTCATCGCGGACGCAAATGTCTGCCTTGGCCCGCATCCCCTGCCAACAGCAACAGATTAGACATTCTTGCACACCTGCATCTCATTCCTCAGATGGAGCAAGCTTCAGCCATGTGCTGGGGTACCATGTTGTACTGCTGGAGCCGCAAGGTGTTACCAGGCTGCCATAAAGTTAGCAAGGCAGCTTTACCGATGCACACCAAACCAAATAACACGTCAGATATCACGTACCGAAACGACTGCCCGGGATTTAACCCTATAACGGTTTCGGACATATGATGACGTTTTCGCGATTTTCGATTCTGGATTTTTTTTTCTTTGAACCCCCCAAATAAGCACCTTCCCTTCCGTTCCATCCTGGCAAAGTCTGGAGCATGCGGTCTTATTTACAAAAAAAAAACCTGCACACGAAAAAAGACCCTGCTATGTCTGTGGGAGGTGCGCCGGCTTGTCCCCCGGCTGAAGAATTCTGGCCGGCCTGGATTGAGGACACCCCCCTGCCTCGTGCAGAATAAGCCCTGCACCACCCCCACACCCACACCCACTTGGCCTTCGCTTTTGGTGACCTAAATGAAACTTTTTGTCTCCAGGAGTGCGGACAGCTTCCTTTGTGATCCTTAAAACCTCAGCAGAGCACCGGAGGTGTTTTTTGAGCCCAAAAACCACCCGACCCCCAGACCAGCTGGCTCGTGCTGCGCGGCTGGGGTCGCTGGCACCTCCTGTCCCCTGATTGGTGCAGATGCTGGGCGACCTCACGCGATATTTTTCTTCAAAAGATCGACACTAACTCTGAGGTTTGGCTCAGACCTGAGGGGGGGGGGGGGGGGTTGAAATTTCCCCCCTCTAAGCATTTGGCCACCAGCTG